CTCAAATTATCAGGACAAGGTTAACAGATTAAATAAAGATGACCCATCAAAATCCAAGAGCTCCCCGGAGAATTAATTAAGCATCAATTTGAATCTACAGGGGGGAAAAAAAACTTTATGATAAAATGATCTGGATACAAATAAAAGAAGCCTCTAAAGTTTTTAGTCTGAAATTTTTGTCACAGAAAATGTGAAATAACCCTCTCAATGTTCCTTATTTGGCTTTAGTTCAAGCATAACTGATGTTCTCACAATATTTTCATGAGTCGTGTGTCAGCCTGTTCCAGCTGTGCTTTCTGTCATTTTCTCCAGAGTTGTGTTGAACAAGGCGGACCAGATTGAGACCCAGCAGTTGATGAGGGTGTACGGTGCCTTGATGTGGTCGCTGGGGAAAATAGTCAACACCCCTGAGGTAATGTCGGAACACCTGTCTGAAACTACATTGGGTTTCATCTAATTTGTAGGTTCCTCCTCATAAAACACTTTAGGCTCAGTCACATTATCTAGAAAATGTCTTTAACAGAAATATTGAAGTCTCTCTAAAGCTAGATTTAGGTTTATCATTAACCAATTAACAAATCTTAAATATATTGAAACACCAATTCTTATATGTTTTTCTCAAACACGGCTCCATCTTATTAGAGGCTGCAAAGTGGAGTGACCAGAGGCTGTTCATTGAAGGTTGATGACTTTCGTTTTGTTAAAGAAGCTCCAGATAAATGGTCTTCTTCCTTGGTCTAGCAATTTGGGGTTTAGGGTCTGGGGTCGGGGGGTCTGCAGCGGTGCTACATGCTTTCAGGTTTTTGGTGGATTGATCGTTTCTCTGTGAGAGGTTTAAAACTTATGGTTCTATAACCAAACCTTGTCTTAAACTAGTCTACAGCCTTTTCCCTGAATGTTCCTTCATCTTTATAAAGCTGTTTGCTCACTTCAATTAACAATGAGGCCTTTACAGAACAGCTGGATTAAACCAAGATTAGATTAGGTAACCTATGTTAACAGCTGGATAGGGGTCAACCTTTTGCAGATATGTTTCTTTTTCCTTTGGAAAAATATTGTTGGTCGTCTTCTTCCTATTTCACTAGTTTGTGCTGGTCTGTCACATAAAGTCCCAGTAAAATAAGGCTGATTCTCCAACTCAAGTCATGTTCAGTCATGATTAAATCCATCACCTATTTCTGATTTGTTCTTCTTCACCACAATGTTTTAAAAAATTAACCTATTGTGGCTTTAATGAAATTATATTTTATTATATATGAATATATCTTATATAGTGATGGAATAACTGTTGTGGAAAAGACAATGTTTACCATTTTTAAACAGTATATTTCAATGTTGGCATAAAGTATACTCAAATAGACGATATGAAATTGTATTTTTCTCATTATTTGAGGTGTTTAGAAATGACGA